TTACAAAGTAGGAGATTTTCCAGTAAATAATTTTGTACCTTAAATCAAACGACGTGCTAAGTTGGAAAATTTTTCCAAGGCTTTTATAAAACTAGAAAAACAGTTGAATTTCAACAGTAACTGGCACTCCTAGTTTGTACCAAAGCCTGTTCTTTTACAAAAAAATCAAGCTACTAGCGAAGAAAATCGATGGATAAATAAATTTTAGGTTATGCTATGTTATCATATGTTATGTTATGTTATGTTATGTTGTACTGTGTTGCGTTATGTTGTGTTGGGTTGTGTTGTGTTGTGTTGTGTTATGTTATGTTATGTTATGTTACGTCATGTTATGTTATGTTATGTTACGTTATGATATGCTATGTTATGTTATGTTATGTTATGTTATGTTATGTTATGTTATGTTACGTTATGTTGAGCTGTGTTATGTTATGTTATGTTATGTTATATTATGTTGTGGTGTGTTGTATTGTGTTGCGTTGTGTAGTGTTGTGTTGTATAGTGTTATGTTATGTTAAGTTGTGTTATGTTATATTCTGTTATGTTGTTCAACGCATGTCACCTCAATTCACTTCAATACTCAATGAAATTTTTAGGTGAAAACCTGCACACCATGCTTCTCTCAACCGAAGAGTGAAAGCTTTCTATTTTCATATATAGCTTAAGGATACAGTAAAAGTAGCCAAACCAGAGGGAAGTTTTATGAATTCCGGGCTTCACTTTGGTGTTCCAGTTTGATGTTGCAAGGTTAAAGTTACGCTACTGAATACCCTTGAAATATTTACTATTTAACTAAAAATCAACAGTCGTTCAGAATTTATATATTTTTTGCGCGCTTTTCACTTCATTTCAATAATTTTTTATGCCAGCTTGATATCCTAATTTAAAACTTTTCCGCCCTATTAAGAGAGCTAGCCTCCAACATTTCAAGTATAACTACTCTATGTATTTCCATGCAATAAAAAACAGAAATAAGCTGCATAATTTTTCGATAACTATAAATTTCGCTCAATGCCATGTCACAACAAAGCCAATGAGCAACAAAAGAAATTGAAAAAACCAGCTCGATAATAAGCCTAGGCTGAGGCAGCGGGATAAAATAGATAAAAAGCTAAAAATAGTAACAAAAAAGGCTAATATAAGCAGAAGCAAATAAAAAAGCAAAAACATAATATTATTGCGAAAAACAAAGTCGATGTATGCCGAGTTGGCTGCATCACCAAGGAGCGCGCCGCTGTCGTCACCATGCATCATTAAACTCAATTAACGTCAACCAGCCGCCATCAATACGGCCGAGATAAGCGGCAAGCAGCCAGCGCGCAGCGGAGCCCACAACAAAATGAGGCACAAACAAAAAACAAAGCCATTAAGGGGCAATGAACGAGGTAGCAGCTGATGAGTAGGCGAGTAAAAAGCGCATATTGTATATAGGAAGACAAAAAAAAATGCTTCGAATAAATAAGTAGAAAATAGGTGGCATAAGGACGACAAAGCAACAGACAGTATGTATGGCAGTCATTGCAGGAAGTTGTGTAGTGCCGCAAAGTGACAAAAATCAAATGTCAGCCACGACAGCCGACAATCGGCGACGAGATAGGAAACAAAAAGTTGGAATGTCTCGCAAAGGTGATGAGTTTTTTGTCAGAGGGAGTTAATGCGCCTAAAAGCATACCTTTTAATGGCAGCAAACGCCGCATACTTACAGGCGCATCTGTATCTGCGCTACCTTTAAGTGTCTTTTTTGTTTTGTAGCAGCCATTTTTCGGTCTGCCGTTCATTCCCCACATTCGTGCCATGTTGCCTGTTATTAATGTCACTTATTTGCCAAAAAAAAAAAAAAAAATAGCGAATCGCAAACTTTGCTGCTGACAACCAAAAGTTATATTACATTAATGTGAATGACAAGTGCACGTCGACAGCAGATGAGGATGTCATTGTGCGTCAGTGGCTACGAAAAAATGTGCTTGCTTTAGTAGGTGGTAAATTTGTGTTAAGTAGATATTTAATTTAGCACAGATATGAAGCGTCAAAGTCAAAAGTCACATAAACGACCCAGTTTCAGCGGGTGGTAAGTCAGCTATGTATGTACGCAGTCGCTGAAGCTAGCATCAGCGTGAGCTTGAAAGTATGCAACATATTTTATGTGTTTCATATATATATTTGTATATCGAGTATCTTTCTGTGTCACTTAACACGCACACAATTTAATGAGGTTGACAGCGTAAACATAGTTAATTTGCTTAGGGGCGGCATATCAAGGTTTCGGTTGCTTGTAATTAAACGAGTTTCAGTTTGTTTTGCCAACCCAATAGCTGCCAGATGTGTTGCAGGCTTTTGAGAATTTGAGAATTTTTCATACGAAATGAGGTAAACTTTTGTGTCTTCTTGGCTCTTATATGGACAATGTAAGTCCTACTCGTATTTATGTAGATATCGAAATTGCGAAATTTTTGTTTGGAGGTACCACATATCTACTAACATTTGGCAGTCTCTGTGGCTTTAAAATACAAGTTTTAATATTAGCGCCTAGGAATATACAATTATTTGCTATACTACCCCGACAAGCTTAGCGGTGGGGTTCTAGATAGAAGAATTGTATCGCGAAAAGTTTCTAAATAGGCAAAAACTGTGCCTAAAAATATGCAATGTCGGCAGAGTAACACGGTAGTCCCTCATAAACCCGATTTCATATTGCCTCACATAATCTGAATATTAGTTTTTTTTTATGAAAATTTGTTTGAATTTTTTTGTTTCAGCATCTGTCACCCTTAAACTTCATTTTTGAAAGTGCTTCACTTTTTTTTTTACTTTTTTCTTTGTTTCGCCTATTTGTGGTTATTATTTAGTTTTTAATTGCATTCCATAATTGTTTTCATTCTATTTGAAGTGTATTTACATATGTACGTTCTATATTTTTTTGTTAATTTTTTTAATACAAAAATTGTTTGACTTCATTTTATTTTAGTTTTTTTAGTGTTTCCTTTATAATTATATTGCATTCGAAAGTAAATTTTTGTTTGCATTTTTAATTTCAATATTTTGTTGCTTCTTAATACTTAAATCTTTTCAATATTGTTTTTAATTTCCTAAATTTTTTTACTTAAAATTTTTGCTTTAATTTTGCGTTACCAATTTCTCATTTTAAAAGGTTTTAAATTTTCAATATTTTTTTTTTTAATTATTATTGGAATATTTTAGTCCTTAACTTCTTTAATTTTAAGTTTAACTTATCAATTTTAATTTCAAAATCTTTTTAAATCATTATATTTTCATAATATTTTTTTTTTTAATTTGCAGATTTTTTAATAGAACTTTTGATTTAAACTTTTTTTTGTATATTATTCTCATTATATTCAAGAGTTATTATCATTGCAAATGTTCTTGGTTGCAATATTTTTTCGTGTGATTTTTTTGGTAAATTTTTTTAAATGGTTACTTTAAAAAATTGTTAGTTTCATTATATTTCTAATTTTCAATGTTTTTTCGTATTATTATTTTTTATTCTCATTGTTAAAATTATTTGTTTCAACATATTTTTTTTGTATTTGTTTGTTAATTTTTTGTTTAAATGTTTTCTTTAAAAAATTGTTAGTTTGATTATAGTTTTATTTTTCAAATATTTTCAGTTTATTTTTATTTAATTTGCCAGTTTTTTGAATAAAATTTTTGGCATTTATATAATCGTTATTTTAAAAATTTTTTGTTTTAATATTTTTCCATTTGATTTTTTCGTAATGTAAAAATTCTACCTAATTTTTTGCCTTACATTTTGGTTTAAACATGTTTTGTTTAATTTTTATTTTTCAAAAGTTTTTATTTTAGTTTTCCAGTTTGTTTTAGCTATAAAATCGTTAAGTTAAATATCAACAATATTTAAAAATTTTCAAGATTTTTGTACCGTAAATTTAAAAAAAAATTTTGTTTTATATTTATATTTTTTTGAAATTATGGAATTCGCAATTTTAAAATAGTTTTAATGTTTTTTTTTTATTTTAACTTTTTTCATACTTCTATCTTTAACAAGTTTTTTTTTAATTTTTCTTTTAAAGTGATGTTTTTTGTGTCGTAAAAATTTTAAAATTACGTACTTTCTTGTTTTTTCTACATTTTTTATTTAGCTTTAAATATATTAGTTATTTTTTATTCGCTTCATATTTGTGATTAAAAAAAGACAGACTAGCTATAAAAACCTCTTAAAAGTGGGCACTTAATTTTTAATTTCTTAAATCTTAATAAAGTTGTATATAGCTGACGTGTGTTAGTGTGTGTCGCAAGTATACGATAGCGATACGATATTTGTCGCTTACTCTTTTGAGAATAGCCCCACAGGTCTGCCAAAATCACAAGTATCAGTTCCTTTTTCGGAGTATTAGGATACCACTTACTTATAAATATAATGTCTGCTTTTAAATTTTAGGAAAAATCGCATTCCCTTGCAAATTTTACAGTAGCGAAAAAATAAAACACCAAGTTACAATATTTCAAGTTTCCAACACAAGTGCATGTGTACTCAGGCGCTGCTCATATTGTACTTCCAAGCAGTCCTTCTAAAGAAAAAATACTTATTTTTAGAACCGCTTAAAATCTCAACCGCAGCTGGATCAAATGTCAAACATTTTAATTGAGTGGATTAAAATGAACTACAAGGCAAACACACACTTACACAGATGCACACATACCATGCACTTTCTTTCATTCGAGTCGCACACACCCACACACTACATTTACACTCAATTAAATGCCGTTGAAAACGGAAGTGCTATTCGAATTACAAGTGCGGCTGTTAGACTATACAAATGTATGTATGTATATGCAATGCACGTATGTATGTGTAGGTGTGTTTGTAAGTGGCTGCGACATTTTACAAGACTAGTATTTCTATACATATGTAGATATGTACATATTTAGAACGAAACATACAAATCAGTATACAAAATATTTACTCCATTTATATATATATTTTTCATTTGCTTTCTTTCTCTTTTCTCTTCTCATTGCAGTTTCGCCCGAATCTATTGTGATACCCATCGTTTCGTGTATATTCGGTTTCCCCATATTGGCTTTACTCGTCATCTGTTGCCTGCGTCGTCGCGCGAAATTGGCACGTGAACGTGATCGTCGTCGGAATTACGATATGCAGGACCACGCTGTGAGCCTGGTCAGATTTAGTCCCATACATAGGCTTAGTGAGTTGTTAAGTGTTATGTGTGAGTGGGGTGTGCTTATTTTCAATTGACGAGTAAGTGAAAAACTGACTTTTAAAAATAAGGACACCCCTAGGATTGTGTACAATTTTACTCTACTCTGTGCAATCGACTTTTTTCTAATTGTTTTTTTACTTTGCTACTGATGCTTGCTGCACTATTTTAGTACCTATTATTGTAAAAACAAAAAATTTAGAATTAGACATTTTTAGAAGAAAAAGTGCACGATATGTTTTTTCGCTACAAAATTTAGAAATTTCTAAATTTTTCATAATATACTTCTAATTGTGTATGCAAAAATAGTGGCACGCAAGTATTTCGTCTTACGATATTGGTTTGTTAATTTAGTATAATAGATTTTTAGTGCAAGAAGGTAATCCAAAAAAGTGTCTGTTAAATAGATTGTGAGAATCTGTTATTTAAATAAAATATTTCTTACGACATTATGCTGTTTAGAACGTTTTCAGTTTAATTTAAAAATTTTTGTTTTCAACGAATTAAAAACCATCTTTGGATGCTTAGCCGATAAAAAAGAAATTACTTTTATAAGCCATAATTTACGACATTGTATTTTTCAATGCGTTACGAGTATTTTGTGGACATTTTTGATATGAAAGTAAATGAATGTTGCAAAAATACGATATGTTCAGATTTATGGTTCTATCAATATTTTTCTTATTAAGATTTGCTAGAAATAATTTCTGGTATTTTGAGGTAGGCTGAATAAGACCTTCAAAAGCACTCAGTAAACTACAAAAAATTATTAATAAGGGAATCGTTTATACGATATGAGCGTTTTTACTGTTTTAGAATTAAAATTATTATAAAAAGTAATAGTATTTTTTATTTAGTACTGTCATCTAAAAAGTGAGAGAAAAAGAGATTTATCTATAATATCAAGTATCATATACCCTTTATTTTATTTTGAAAAATCGCGATACATATATATTTTACGATATAAGTTTTACGATATGGGTTTTACGATAGATTTTACTAATTTTACAATTCTTACACTCTAATTGTTGCTTTTTTATTTTTTTTAACGCAATTAATTTTGTATTGCAACATATTTACGATATGAGAAAATATAGTTGCTTAAAGTCTGCCAAAAAACACTTGAAAAATTTTAGATAAAAGTACTAAGTAAATATACTTTTTACACAAAAAATTAGAAAAAATAGTGACTTAAACTCTGTCAAAAAACAGCTGAAATCTTTAGATAAAAGTACTAAGTAAATATACCTTTTACACAAAAAAATTACGATATTCAATTAAAGATATTACCCTCTTCAAACAATTTTTTTTCCCTTCAAAAATTAAAAAAACTGTGTCGTTACTTTTGGGTTTAAATTATTTAAGAATATTTTTGGGACTAATTTCATATTAGAATTTGTAAAAAAGTGCATTAATTTAACCGTTCACTTAATCTCGTTACCTATCCATGCAACTGGTCGATAATTGTCAATTTTAATTTAGTGGCGCACAGCGCCTAAAAGTATGTTTCACACAAGCGTGCGTTGCCTATGTACTCTCGCGTTCCTTGTTATTACTGTTCATGAAACATTCATGACCCACAACAGGCACTTCCGAAATGTCGGAGTTCATCAGCACATCTGGCTGTCAGCGACAGGTTCGGAAACAACTTCAACGCCGCCAACAATTACAAGAGCAATGAGAGTAGCCAGCTGCCGCTTGGTGGCTGATGACTCGCGGCTTTTAGCAGCGCTGACAATGTGTCTTCCTGTGAACTGTGAATGCGTGTCGTTGACAGTGAATTTTTTATTTTTTTATGGCCGTCAGGGAGTTTGTACGTGCATGGAACTGTGAGTTGAATTGAATAGCAAACGCAATAGCATTTGCGCGTCAGATCTACTTTTAGGCGCACTTAAATACGCTCCAACAATCACCCCAACATGGTGCTGTCGACATTTCGTTGATTTTGGATTATTTTTATTGCGCTTTTTAATACATTTTTTATTTCCGAATACTTTGTCATCTACATTGAACTTAACGGAAATCGTTCGTTTGCGTGCGAGGGAAGATTTTAAATAGTTTTTTATTTTTGACGCAATCACCTTCGGGTGGATTGGATTTATGTATTTGAAATTCAGTGAGTGTCCTTGGCAACAACTGAATTTTAAATATACATATTACGTTCTTAGACTTCTCACTACCACATAACCAATCTAGCGCATAATCTTCATTCAGCTTATCATCGATTATCTACTTTATTCGTTTTGTGGGAAAATGTGGCTTAGCAATTCTGCCTTAATTTGAAACTGCTTGCTTCATTCCACCCGCACTTTTCTTTCTTCTATTATAATTTCTCACGATTCGCAAATATCATTTGCATACTTAACGTGTCTATTCCATAGATTTATGATTGGGAAACATGCTAAGTGGTAAATTCGTGCCTTGTTTTATTTAATTTCAAAAGTACATTTAGAATAAGTCTTTCATTTAAGAAGTTCAATAACACTAAATATGAATAGACCTACGAAAATATGAATTTCAATTTTAATTACACAATAGAAGTTACGATATTGAATTTTCATTTCTAAAATTCGTTTTACAAGTCTTTTCTAGTTAGTATTAATTATTTAAAGAACCACTTTTCTCAGTACATACATATATACGTATGGATGTATGTGAAAATCTTACGATATAACATTTTTGAAAATAGAATGTCCGAAAACTACTCAGGTTGTTAGATTTTAAATTATAATTGATTTTAAGCAGCAAACATTTTCGATATTATTTTTACGATATTACAATTTTCATAAGAGGTATGCACAATTATGTTTTATGGTGCTAAGTATGTATGTAAAAATAGTTAAGCACAAATTTACGATATAAATTATTTTTAAATAAAATTCTCCTAAAATTTTATACATACATATAGTATGTTACATTTAAAAGCCCCATATAATTAAAATCCTGTCGAGCTTTAAAAAATTACGTACGATATAATACTAACGATATTGAAAGTTTCGTTAGAAATATGTACAATAATTTTTCCTGATGCCACGCGTTACGGAAATGAAAACAAGATTACGAAATAAGGCTATTAAGCTTATGTACTTTCAAAAAGTATTTTTTCCATTCCCAATATATAAATATTTTACGATATTAGGATTTTTGCTTCAAAGCAACTTTTGTATGAATTTAACTTAATTTAAAGCAAAATCAGGGGGCTTTACAGAGTTTGTTATGAAGAACTTAAGATATATTTACGATATTGAAACGGACAAAACGGCTTTAAAACTATGATATTTTAGTGAGACTTCATACGTGTTTATTTTGATTTAGTTATAAATCTAGGATGAAAATATATTAATCAACCGTCCAAAAATCTTGAAATTACCAATATCGTAAGTCGGTTGAGGTGTCTAACTTTTTATTTCTTGGTAACTTCATTGTTCGAATGCGTACTAAATTTTTCTACTTACTTTCTCCCTCTCCTTCACACAGATTACCGACCGTCGCGAGCTATCAGTTTACGTCCTGAACGAAGCCTGAGTCAGGGTTTCACCTCCCTCGAGCTCGATACCGTAGTGGAGGAACGCTGCAGCGATGTAGAACAAACGCAAACGGAAATACTCAATGCCGAATCGCCCATGGAGACGACTTCATCCTACAAGATGTCCTTTTCAAGCTAACAATTAGTGGATAAACAACAAAAACAACAGCAACAGCAGCTACAACAACCACAACACCTATTACAAATCTCCCCAACAGTAGCAGCAGCAGCAGTAGCAGCATCGGCGGCGCCAGTGTCACAAACAACGAGCAAAGCTTCACACAGGCGTTCACATTCGCAAACGAAATTCAAAATTCGTAAAACCGAATCGGTGCAGGAGACGCATTTTGATGGCAGCAACACCACCACAACGCCCACAAAACGGGCCGCCAGTAAGAAACGCCACTCAATGCGCAAATCACGTTCACTTGACGCCGAGGCATACACGCTGGCCTGCGTACAATCGCCGCTCTGGGCGACGTTAACAAATGCCCGAACAATCAATGAAATACTGCAGGACGAATACTAAGGCAGCGGACGAAGAGCAAACAAAGTAAAGAAAGCAGAAAGCAGCGATGGTGAAGGCAAGTGGTATGCTGGTCGAAAAAGAGGAAGGAGTATCTATAAAACGCGAGTCGAGTGTGAGTCAGCAAATTCCAACCCAACCCAGTCATTTCGTGCGAGAATGAGTTCAATTCGGGCACCCCCGCAACACCGTCAATCCATGCAGCAAATGCAATTAATTCAGCAAAAAAAAAATGGGGGAAACACCCAAACAATTGGGAAGTGTAAAAAATTATATAATTAAGTAAAAAGGAGTTTCCCCAGCAGTATTAAAGCAAAGTTATCAAAGTATATTACAATTACGTCTCGTTTAATGTGTTGATACCCTTTTATTATGTATGTAAATTGAAAAAAACTATATATAGCGTAAATGTATACATATACAGCGATGCATTGATATTTGAAAATTATGTAACATAGCGAAAAATTACCGTAAGAAAATTGTACTAAAGAATTTACTATCTAAATTTGTATTATTTGCAATGTTAATTAAATAAACCCTTAAAATTCATGGGAGATGAAAGAAGAAAAAAAAAACAAAATAATGGAGTGAAAAAAAATAATAAAAATTTCCAAATTGCAGCTGCAACCCAACATAAATACATATGGTGTTTTAATTCACTGGAGTATGGAATGAGCGAGTTCTGTCTTACACTCAAAAACAGTTTGAATAAAAAATTAAATCAAATTTTGGTTTTATTTCTGTTGACAAAAAAACTTTAAACTAAAAACAAGTTGGCTACGACAAATCCGAATAGTTTAAAGTCTTTTGGTGCTATGAGAGCTTTAAGTGAGAAACCTGCAGCTTGAATTGTAGATTATAGTTTTGATGTACATAATTAATTTATTTTTTTAATGTTAATAAAAAAGGGTAAAATACAAATATTTATAAGCTATTTTTTCAAAATTCCTTCACTTGCTTTTTTTTTATCTTCCTTTTTTGGCCAAAATTTGTTTGGTACAAATTTTTCTTTATGTTAATATATTTTTTTTGAAATCTTTTCAAACTTAATTAATTCTTTTTAAATTTCGTTTTTTTTGTAATTTGCTTAGTTTATTTAAGATTTTTCGAATTTTTTTCAAATTTTATTCGAGATTTTTTTTGGTATTTTTTTTTTTTAATTTGAGGAAACTAAATATTTATTTGAAAAAGTTTTCATATATTTTTTTAATTTATTTCCAAATTTTTTAATTTATATATTTTCATATGCAGTACATATACATTAGAGTGGTCCAAAAACAATAAAGTCGGAGTTTTGATGCCGCAACTCCCTAGGATTGTTCTGAACCGAAAAAATATAACCCCATGTTTTTTTTTTTTTTGCAATGAAAAAATATTTAGGGAGTGCTCACAGCGCTCAAAATTTTCCATATGTGGAAAAAATAACTTTTCGTAGAAATCTGTGGAAACTGTGGAAAACTTCAGGAGGCTTCCAATATTAATATCCACTTATTTATTTAACCATTTTTTAATATTAAAGATTTTTTGGAGGACCTATAAAATATAGTTACCATGAAAAAATTGTTATAGAAACAATTGCGTATTAATACTGGGAATCTCCTGAAGATAAGCAAGTTTTCCGACCAAAAAATATTGATTTTCAAGAACTCTACACTATTTCTACGAAAATTTGTTTTTTTCCCATATAAAATACGTGGAAAACTTTGAGCGCTTTGAGCACTCCCTAAATTTTTTTTATTTTTAATCTAAGTTTGTTATCCTCTTTTTTATGACAAACATTTTTTTGTTTTAAAAAAGCAATTCTTAATTTCGAAAAAACATAAATAAATTTTCGCACTTGTGTTTAGGTTTAGTGTCTAATTTATTTATTTTTATGTTTATTATTTTTGGTAAGCATTTTTTGTTAAAAGAAAATTTATTGAAAACTAAAAATTTTATTTAAAGAATTTGTCATGCTGTTTTCTCATCTTTTGTTTAGCTTTTTTAATTTTCATAATTCTAAAATTTCATTTAAATTTTGTAAATTAAAAAACTATTCTTCAAGATTTTTGGTAAGGTAATTTTTTTTTTTGAATTTTTTTAGGGCTAAATATGCATTTTCAGATAATTTTTAGCTTCTGATTTATGAAAAAAAAAGTTCTTTGAGCCAGTATAGTCATGGGCTCAGCTGTGACATGAGAATGTTTAACTGAGGCACTCATTAAGAAATTACTGCTCCAAAGCTCAACTAGCCTTTATTAACATAAAACACATTTCAAAATAATAATAGATAAGCATACCTGTTAGAAACAAAACGTTATTATTGCGATAGAGAAACTCCAAACCAAAACAGAATGGATCTTTGATAATACATAGAGCAATTTCCAGCAAAACTTGTTTCGTTGCAAATAAGCAGGCTTTTGTAAAGTGGAAGAAAGGTGATAAAAGAAAGCTTTTGAAAGCATTCAAAGCTTATGCAAATATATTGTCATATCCATTAGCCATTGTAAAAAAAAAATCTTGCCGCCAGTGCGATTTTTGTGAAGACCGCCTAGAGGCAGGCTGGGGCATTAAAGGGTTAAATACTTGATATATGTACATAACTCCGGTTTGTGAACAACGACTTTTTCTCTTGGCCCCTTAAACCTACTGCGCCAGCACCTCTTTCCCTTTTCTTTGACCGCGTTGAATCAGTAAGATTCCTAGATTTACCGGTAGTTGAGATCTTCAAATTTTCCAGTTCCATCCCAGAGCTCATTCCTTAACCAGATCGGTCTCTTGAGGAGTGAATCCTATTTGAAAATGAAAATTTCAGTTAAAAATTTCCACAAGCTGTGTATCTCTGTGCCGACTGAAGAAACTGTTGCAATATACATATTTACTAAACATATAGAACTCCTAAAATGCTTGGCAAAAACCATTAACTTGAGCAAGCTTCTTTTGCAACTTCAGCTGCTCAGTACACGAACCAAACTTTCAGAAACTTTCAACCTCCCTCAGAGCTTAAGTGAAGAAAAACTTAACGCGACTTTGGAACAGAAAAGCAGTCTAGGAACAAAGAAGCTTTTAACCGTACTTAGAGCTTTATTGAAACTGATGAGCTTTGCAAATAAATTTGGCAAGATTTTGGGGAAAATTTGTTCTACAAATAGCACATGCGCTTTAGATAGCTTTTACTACAAATGAACAAGCTGTACTCAAAAGGACATGCATAATATTTAATTATGTATGTATGTATGTATGTATGTAAGTATGTACTGACGTAGTCATGAAAATCTATACACTTTCGCTAAGAAGGATTCAGAATATGCCATTCAAATGATTTTGTTGCCAGAGCGATGATATTAAAATTCCTCTAATTTTCGAAGGTTGAAAAATTTTCAAATCATAGAAAACCGCCTCTTAAACTCGTCAGCAATGACGTGGGGAAACCTTCTTTTTCAGGTTAAAATAAGATTCAGTGCCACACATGCTTTAAGTTAATCACAGCATGCTGTAGAATGAGCTGCTGATAAAGCCCAGTTCCAAGCCCACACTTACAGTTTATAGAATGCTGGCTAAAAGCTCGAAACTGACTCTAATTTAAGATTTGGAGTTTAGTTCGAAGTTAACGTAGACCGTTTTCTTATTGAGAATGTGGCTCTGCGGGTGCAGGCAACGAGAATAGCGGCAAATGAACAGACTTCCCCTGATTCTACATTCAGTTCTAGTGCTAACTTCTTCGATAGTCGTAATCACTATCAAAAAAATCCGTGAAAATTTGTGGCCGATAATTAAAGTAGCCTAAGTCGTGATAGGCTATTTCCCCTTTAAAAAAATATGCCATTGGGTTCCAAAAACCAAAAATTAACGTTTAAATAACCAAAGGTGTATGCAGTTTAAGATGCCCTTTTGATAGAAGCTTAATAAAAATAAGAGAAAAAAATTGAAGAGAAGCTTATAATTTTTTTATTCAAAGTCAAATTTTCCAAAGTCACTTAAGCTGCATTGACGTGCCCAGATATATTAACCTGTGATGTCTGGGAGATGTCGAAATAAATTTCTTTCAGAGCCAAAGTATCCAGCGACCACAAGGAACTTGCAAATTAACTTGTCGAGGCTTTCGAAAAGCTCCCAATAAGCCAAGTCTAGGTTAGGTTAGGTTAGGAGGGCGTGTGTGGAATATTTCATACTTTCACTCCGCGATAGAATTGTCCATTTTGAGTGCCCTCTTTAAGTGAGTGTCAGGAGGAGACACGTACCTATAATTGAAAGAGTAGCTTGAAGTCATTATTCTAATGAACCACCGCTACCTCGCCCAGAGCGTTGAACAAGCGTAAACCCAACTGCTTGAGGCGCTTCGTCTACTAGATAGCGACACAGAAAGTGGTCAATTGACTCCTCCTCATCCTTTTTATGGCGGCTTCTGCAGATAGTACTTGTTGGTATTCGTCACCGTTTGAAGCATTGGTAGTGCAGCACAGTGTCCTGTGATGACGCTGTTAAGGCATCTTACTGCAGATCTATTGAGTTTCAGTATGTCCCTTGTCTTTTTCTTACTAAGCCGCAGCCATAATAAACTTGTGGTCTCCCATTTGTTCCACAAGTCATTCGCCGCGGCCACGGTGTAATCATCAATTTTCCTAACGTGATCACTAAACGGTGATAGTACTGAGCTATTCGCTTCTTCTATTGCATCTTTGAGTGCAATATTGCTATGTCCGAGGACCCAGCATAGAGTGACGTTACTACGGCTCAGTGACGCCAGCGTGGTGCGACATTTAAGTACGATTCCTAATTTCACTATTATTTTGGATCCTATTGCCTTCACTGCTGCGTGACTGCCGACAAAAAAAGTGGCTTTGTCTACTGGAACTCTATCACTAAATAAAAGGCTAGCCGCCCTCTCTATAGCGTAGATGTCCGCTTGGAAGACATTGCAGTTGTTTGGTAGATCAAAGGACTGGTTAATCTGCAAGTCCTTCGAGTAGACACCGGCTCCGGCTCCGGTTCCTTCTTTCAACTTTGAACTATCAGTGCAGATAGATATACCTCCTCTATTACTGGCATTCCTGCATCCCATTCTTCTCTGGTCGAGAGTCGAGAAGTCTATCTTTTCAATAACCGCCCGCGGGTGGTCAAATGGATGCGTCTAGCAATGTCGCTGTGTCCTTGCGCCCGTATGTTACAGATACGAAAACCCTCAGATGAGTCAAAAGTATAGCCAGTCATTCCACGGCCAGCTTCGGCTGTAGCACCAACAAATCTAA